TCAATTTCCAATGCCCCTGTGATAGTTGTCAAAACATTCGATACAAAGCCCGGGCTTATTCTCACATTTTATGCAGTGCCATGGGGAATCGGTACGCTTCTTATTTTTGTAGCATTGACGACAAATCTTTCTCTGTACTCTACCCTTTTTCGTCAAGTCCGTGATTTTTGCAATCCAATGCTGTGATGATGATCCACCTGCTGTTGAAATTGGCAGCGGTTCGGATGGTTTTTGTGGCAGCAAGGAACTTATTACTCTTATACGATAATCATACAGATTCAGTTTGTTTTGGCCTGAATATTTGTTATATATTTTATATGAGTTGATGAATAGAATTTGAAATATATGTACGGCAATTTTCATGTACCAGCGAAGGGTTTTTCTCTCGCATGGATAGAATGCTAGAAGCTGGTCTTGCCTAACTCCAGACATGTATGTATTGTATTAAGCTACACTTTCAGGTTTCTGAGCAATCTATCTCCGTCTGTTGGTAACTGGCACCATATTATTAGCATACTGATTGGTTATGTATGTAACCGGGCGTTTATCTTTCCATTTTCCTATGTGAATTCTGTCTCGAAACAATGATATGTTTTCGCCCTTTTTCAATACCTTTTGTGTCACTTCCTTAGGATTGTCTCGTAAATCTTTATGTAAAGTGCCAGTACAGTATGTATTTTTCTCAAGCAGCTTTTTTGCCAGTATATAATTGTTGTAATATTTGTCCATATAAACTTCATGTCCATTTCCCAGTTTTTCTTCTAGAAGATGCATGACAACTTTCTCCACATGTCCTTTTCCAGTAATCTGTGCATCTTTACCACCAGCATATACATGAACCTTTAGAATCAATCCATCGGGTTCAGTGAGCATGTATAACTTGATTCCATATTTATGGCATTTGTTTTTTATATACTGTTTGAAACTGAGATGTCCTCACCATAGCACCATGCTCTCGTCTAGTGATAATTCCTTGCCAGGATAGTAGCAACCATTCATTTTAGTATTGAAATAATCAATCACTTGGCGTACTTTGAACAAGGGATCCTCACTTTCTGTTTCTGAGGTAAAATGCATACATCTCATAATTAGAAGGAATCTGTTACTACCCATTTGCTGTCCGAATATAAGAAAGTTAAAAAGCCTGTCCTGCTTCCAATAATCTTGTATTCTTCCAGTAATCTTGAAACAGTTCCCATGTGAAACAGTAAATCAAAAAAAATTTTTAGCTCTGGTACAGTGAGCTCTTTCCACCGGGTAATCCTAGCATATTCAGAACCAGTCGACAAAAACAACCTTTCTGCTTGAGCATTCGTTACAACTCATAGTAAGAAACTGTTGGTCGAAAAAAAAAGTAAAAAAAATCAGTTGGCTCTGTTCCATTGATTTCTCCAAGAAACCGATTAGTTTTTGTAAAATTAAATTGTCTCATATCACCTTCAGAAGTCCAGTGAGAAGTAGACTCTTCAGCAGAGGGTTTATCAGGTGTCTGATCATCATCTTGATGATGAGGTGGCGATTGCGAGGGTGAGGACCGTGGCAGTTTTTGTACAGGTAAACTGATATCAGTTACAGAAAATGACGGCTGACAATCATCCTCCGACGATAACTGCTCTTCATCATAGTCAGGATAATAAATATCATCACTATCACTTTCGGCGAATAATTCTCTTTCCAAATCACTGTCATTTTCAGCATAATTCATTACAAACTTCAATTTTCTTGTACGTGAAGGACCCACAATACTATCCATAACAATGTGCAGATATAAGCCAAACAATAACAGGTTATACAAAACCGCTTTCACGTAAAAAATCGCCGGAAATTTACTCGCAAGACCAATCTACAAACGACGCTATATGCACAAAACCCGTGGCGTAGTGGCCTTTGTAATTTGTACACCTAGCTTTCCACACTGGTGCGAGAAGCGCCCTCCAGCTTACCCCCGCACCGGTGTGAAATGGGCAGTCAAGCTGTTAAAATAACATACTTTTAAAAAAGCTCTCTGTGCCCATTCAAGATGTATAAAATTACTTTTAGCCGCACCACCCATGGATGTGCAATAAGATAAAATTTATTGACACAATGCCATATAAACCATCTTCATGATTTCTGAATCTGCAGATTGACATAATTGTTTAAAAATGTAGATAAGTTTACGGACTCTGTTTGACAGGTGTTCAATGTAAGCTTTAAATGTGAGGTTATTATCAATAATAATTCCAAGATATTTTATAGATGTCACTTTTTTATATAGTGTAGGTCATTATTAGCTGTACTATTTCTTATATCAAGGGGAGGCTTAACAGCGATTTGTAATGAGTTTGTTATTGAATTTTTAATCTAGTTTGTAATACATCAATGAGTAGGAGTGATAGTTCCCGGAGAAGAAATCTTGCGAAACATTTTCTATCTCCTTATCACAAATAATTTTACAAAACATTTGTCTTCACAGATGCACACGCTATGACCAACTATTACTTTGACACAAGACTTGTTTTGTATCACTATGGGACAGAATGAGAGGCGGGCTCACCACAACAAGCAGCGTGATGGCGCCCTCGGGTGAGCGAAGGTGGCGCAGGCGGCAGTAGACGGGCGCGAGCGGGCGCGGGCGCGGCGGAGGCAGGCGCGAGGAGGGCGCGTGCGAGGCCCACGACCGCGCCGTGAGCTCGGTGCCGGCCGGCGAGCGCCCGCCGGCGCCCGCGCCCGCGCACCCGCTGCCCGCGATCTCGAAGTCCTGCACCTCCTCGCCGCGGCAGCTCGTTGGCTCCAGCTCGCGGATCTCCTCCAGCAGCAGCTCCACTTCGTCGGCCGAGTACAGTTCGCTCGACGACACGTAGCGCGCCGGCGCCGCTTGCATGTCACCCGCGGCGTGCTCTAACGCCGAGCGCCGCCGCCCCGGCCCATCCTACGACGGCGTCACGCGTCAACCACTCGCCCCGTACTAGCGCCGCTCCGACCAATTTACCTCTCCTGTTTGTTGACATTGAGGCTTTGTTCCCCTGTAGATGATCGCATAATCCGGAGAAGCGGGTATCTTTTTATGATACACCGACTTGTAAACAGATTTATTTCGACGACGCTTTACTAGCACGCCATGTTTGTTATCATTTTTTTTTTTTCAAACAAAAGTTCATTCTATACTTTTTGATAATAGACAATTTCGTTCGGATACATACAACGCACAGCACAAACAACGATTTATTTTCGGTCATTGTTGTTATTTTTCCAATAGACAAAATTCAAGTAAGTTCAAAACGAAACAAGAACTGAATAATGTTTTCTTATTTATGTTACGCAGTAGTCACACTTGCGCACTTTTAACCTTTATCGCTACATGCCTTTGACGGTCCGGCTTACATTCTTTGTCTGTTTAATATTCACTCGGCGAAATAAAACATTGGTGCTCGGGTAAATCTAGTTAAATCCAATCAAAACCGATAAATCTACTATAAAATGGAGATATAATGATAAGGTAATGTTTGATGTCCATATTTTTCAAAATAGAACTCGTACAACACCTAAAGAAAGTAGCAACTCTGTACCATGATAGACTGTGTGTGACTGTGTTAGACTCTATGGTTCATAAAAGATAGCTTGATCTCTGCGACAGCTGTCAGTAAAAATCACGCCTATGAAGTCCTGAATTTCTTAGTAGTACAGACATACTGTCAGTACCTGTCAATGTCATACTTTATGGGCATACGCTAATTAGGTCGGCATGCCCCTTGCATGCCCATAAAGTATGACGTTGACAGGTACTGTCTGTACATAGAGAATATAACCACTAGAGAGCGTATAGGCAGATTTCTTCTAAGCACACGACTCACTAGTGCGGGCCGGGGGGCGAGAAAGAACGCGTGGCTGCAAGTGGTCAAGTTGCGTTGTTATGGCTATCTTTAGGGTTGGTCTTCTTAATAAAGGAAAATATTCGTTATCGATAAAATGGATTTTATCATTATGAAAAATACTCAATTAAAATCATAGAAATAATATTTAATCAAAATCAATCAGTTACAACGAAAATATGTATTTATTTTATTATTATTGATTTTTGAAATGAACTAATTTGTTATATTTATTTCGAATTAAAGTTTAAGGGTCCTGATTGTTTTTTGTAAAAAAAATATAAACAAGCGTCTACATATTTGTAAATTATGCATCTTACTAATTCAATTAAATGATTTGTTGATTCTATTTCAAATTGATGAAAATGAATATCCGAGAATCAATAATACCTAATCAGAGATTTTAAAACCGTTCTCATAAAATAATTGGTATTACATTTTGAAGACAGCACTTTTGAACCACTCTCATTGACTGCCCTCTTATTAAAAATTTTACAACGACGACAAATATCTATTATTGTAGTAGATCCGTACAATAACTTGTCTTTAGTGTCCTTTTGCCGTTTTGTCCGTAAGCCGTTCTGATTTGGTAGACCAATCTAACTAATTTAACAATACAATACAATATAATACTCTTTATTGTAAACCAACAAAACATATATATATATATATATATATATATATATATATATATATATATATATATATATATATATATATATATATATAACAAATAATGAACAAACGATGAGAGAAAAACAAAAGGCGGCCTTATTGCTACATAGCAATCTCTTCCAGACAACCCAGAAGAGGAAATTAATAAAAATAAAAATAAGATTAACGGGTAGGGTGCACTAAATTAGACAAAAAAATACAACTTATATACTATAAAATGACAACATATTTAAGGTATATTAGTGACCATAACTAAGAGGAGGAAGAGAGAGGAGTTAACCACTCGTGATCCGTCAGTCTATGGACCTATTAGTCAGACCCACGGCAGGTAATCTTCATACAAGTTATTAGAACGTAGACAGAGAATGCTAGGATTCTCTGTCTACGTATTAGAACCTCTAGTCTATGGTTCACATATCGTAAGTGACAGCTTTCTTCACCCCCTTCCCCTCCTTCACACCGCTGCCGAATATCTGTCACTGTCACAGTGTCGTTATTCTCAAGTATATAGTCAGTAATCTGTGGTCGTTATTTTTATTACAGTTTCAAAGTTGATCGAGTGTAGTTACTGTAGTTTTGCGTAATTTATTTCCGTAACTAATCCTCTCAATTCCTGAAGCTGTAATACTACCTTGTCTTGCAACATGTATAATAAGTGTTGTGTTCCATCGTGTGCTAGTAGACGAAAGGACGTCAGTTTTCATATGTTGCCAAAAAGTGAGATAGGACTCAAAAAATGGTTACAGTAATAACTGTGAAAGACTGCGAAGCTTGAGTTCCCAGAAACTTCGTAAACATTTTGTTTGTCGAAAACATTTTGAGAAGAGGTTTCTCGCAATCACGCGCGAAAGAGTTCGTCTTTGCCCCAACGCCTATCTAACGTTGTTTACTGTTAGCGAGATGTCCAGTGGTATTCCGCAAACAGTTGCAAGAATCGCCGTTGAAACTGGTAAGTACAATGGTATTGTGATCAACTGCTACATTAAAGTGATGTTGCATCACCAATATTACCATACGACACTAGCTTTTCCCCGCGACTTCGCCTGCATGGAATCATTTTGCGCGGAACCCTAAAATAAAAGTAGCCTAAGTTACTCCTTATAACATCAACTATCTGCCAGTGAAAGTTCAATCCAAATCGGTTCACAGGTTATTGCGTGATGCATGTTCATACACACAGACGTCGTGTTTTTTTTTCTGACTTACTTAATATTTATTGTTATATTTTAGCCAATTTACACAATATCTTTATTAATTATGGCTTATGTGTTATTCTGATGTATTAGCCATATAATTGCAAAGTTTAATTAAAATCCATTTAGTAGTTTTTCAATGAAAGAGTAACAAACTTCCATACATCCTCACAAACTTTCACATTTATAATATTAATAGGATATTCTGAGTTCTTAGGTATTTAATGCCTCAAACTTATAATACAGATTAATTTTCATGTGTGCTTGTGATGTATTATGTCTGTTTCTTATATATTTTTTATGTTAGGATATATGTATAAAGCTATTGCAATTTCGTCCAGTCTATTGCATTTGCTATTAATCTAGTAATTATTGGTGTTACAATTTTAATCTCTACACTCACCGTACAAAACATAGCAGCATTGACTGCTATTTTTACACTGGTATTCTGTGAAAACATCGTCCTACCCTGGTGGAGCTTACCTATTCATGCTACAACCATAAGACAGCTGTAGTGTGGCTCTACCATGTTGTAATAAAATGTAAAAAATTTACAAAACGGTAAAGTGTCTTGTAAACACTAGGAACAAACATAAGCTTGTAATACCATTTACAAGACTCCACAGAATTAGTAATTTATTTATGGAGCAATGTATGTATATGCTTTTACAACAGAATCCCAAAAAATGTACAAAATTTGTCAATAAACAAGTTTAAATGTTTTATTACAGAATAATTCTACAAAAAGGGTTATTATAATATCAAAGATATTAATGATAAATGATATTAACCCATGGGAATGAGGTGATCGCCACCATGCTGATTCTATTAAATTCATTTAAAAATTACACAAACAAAATTATTGTAAAGTGAAATATGTTTAAATAAAAGACCCGCTGGGTTTCTTTCTGGTTCTTCCCAGGACATAGGTATTTTCTAAACCATTGGTAAATAAAAAATTACTTATAATAAGTATTACGTAATAATATATATTGAACCTGCTGGGCTTCTTGCTGGTTCTTTCCAGGACAGAGGTATTTTCTGAACCAGTGGTAAATAAAAAAATCACTTGTAATAAGTATTACGTAATAATCTATATTGAATAAAAATTATTCTATCCTATTCCATTCTTTAATGAAAGAACAAATCTGTTATATTACAGAAACGGAATCAGATATAAATTCCTACAAACAACCTTCTACATATGAAAGTGGAACCATTGAAGTACCAACAGCAGGTAAGAAATATAAATATTAGTAATCACTAGCATTTTCATACCTGACAATAAATTGTTTATAAAAATAATAATACTAAATTTTTTTATTTCTCACACTTGGTACATGTAGTAAGTTATTTATCACTACATGCTTTTTCTTTTTATATGTGAAAAAATCTTTCGCTATATATAGATAGAATTAATGACGCCCCATAGTTATTATTAGTAATCATGTGTTACATGATGTAAAAACATCAACTGTACACACAATCTATGTATCAGTAGAAAATGCTACATTGAGTATTTGAAGGAGGTAATTAACTTATTTTTTCTTATTTCCTTTTTTTAAATTTTAGATAAACATGTGCTTCATTCTCCAATAACAAGGAGAAAACAGCATATCATACAGAAAAGTAAGCTGTCACCGCATTGTGCTAAGCTTTACAGGCAATACAGAAGATCACAGAGGCAGCTTAATTTCAAAACACGAGTGAAAAAGGCGGTGAAGCAAGCAATGGCGATAATGAAGCAGAGCCTAAAGTGCTATAGATTTCTTCAGAGAATATTTATCTTACCGTCAAAATATACCATAAACAAAATGATCGCCAAATTGAATTAGAAGCAGGAATCAATTCTCAAATATTTGATGCTATCAAAACAGAGGCACTGTATTTTTTTTTAATAAACTTACTTTTCCCATAATCTATAATATAATATATAGCTCGCGGTGAAGGAAAACATCGTGAGGAAACATGCATGTCTGAGAAATAAGAAAAAAAAATATTTCAGACATGTGAAGTTCGCCAACACGCATTGGGGCAGCGCGGCGGACATTTGCTTGCCCTAAAACCCTCTCAGAAATGAGAGGAGGCCTGTGCCCAGCAGTGGGACGTAAATAGGCTGCAACTTTACTTTTACAGTCTCTACTTGTGCTGCTGGTTGCATAAATGGTAGGCTGTTGATGTTTAGACTTTTAAAGCATGTTTTCAAAATACATTTATTTTTTTGTTTTAAGCATGCAGATTTCTTCTCGATGTTTTTCTGCGCTGTTAAGTATGTGGTAAATCAACATCGAAGTTTGCAAGTAAATTTTCAACGGGGTAGAGCCACGCTGCAGCTCTATTATGGTTGTAGCATGAATGGGTCGGCTCGACCAGAGTAGTGTCGGTTAAGAATATCCACTACCCCATATCTTCCCGTGGGTGCCGTAAAAGGTGACAGAGGGAAACAGGCAGGAGATGGGCAGCAGCATCTTCGTGATAACAGCAACTGTACGACAAAAAAACTGCGGTTGCCAACCCGCTCACCAAGCGTGGCAACTATGGCAATATACCCCCCATGAACAATTACACAAATAGACGGCCCCCAGTCCCCGGCGGCCCCGCTATTCCTGGCTACGGTGGCGACCATGGTAACGGCGGGGCAGGGGGTGCTAAGAATCTCCGGTGGAGGTTCGGTTGCCACCTATGACGACTCGACCTGGCAACATTTATCGCACGCACCCTGAGGACTGACGAGAAGATCCTGGAGCTGGAAGAAGAGATAGACAAGATGCGCTGGAATATTATAGGATTATCCGAGGTCCGAAGAGAGGGGGAGGATACGGTGATTCTTGAATCCGGCAACTTGTTCTATCACCGGGAGGGCGACCATCTGTCCCAAGGAGGTGTCGAATTTATCGTCCACAAGTCTCTCGTCAACAACGTTGTAAAGATTGGGAGTGTGTCGACGAGGGTCGCGTACCTGATACTCAGAATCACCAAACGGTATTCGCTGAAGGTCATACAGGTTTACGCACCAACCTCGGCACATCCCGATGAGGAGGTGGAGGAAATGTATGAGGATATTTCCAAAGCCATGCATTCCTCCAGAACCCACTACACGGTGTTGATGGGAGACTTCAACGCAAAACTAGGCACAAGAGAAAGCGGTGAGCTGAAGTTAGGGAAATTTGGAGTAGGGCAACGGAACCGAAGGGGCCAGCAGCTGGCCGAATTTATGGAGAAAGAGGGACTCTTTATGATGAACTCTTTCTTCCAGAAGCGGCCCCACAGGAAGTGGACCTGGTCGAGCCCCGACGGTTTGACAAAAAATGAGATTGACTTCATTATGACGACCAGACGCCAACTGTTTAGTGATGTCTCAGTGATCGCAAGGGTGAAAACTGGCAGCGATCACCGAATGGTTAGAGGCACACTGAACCTAAACGTTAAGTTGGAGAGGTCTCGTCTAATGAAGTCAACGCTCCGTCCCCCTCGTGCTCTAATCCAGAATCCCGAAAACTTTCAGCTCGAGTTACGTAACCGCTTTCAGTGCCTAGAAGATTGCAATGCAGTGGACGATATGAATGACAAGCTCGTGGAAACTGTCCATGCGGTCGGAGCTAAGTTCTGCAAGAGCCGCCGTAGAAGAACACAAAAACTCTCCGATCACACTCTTAATCTCATGGCTGTTAGACGGGAGATGAGGCTGCAATCGTCAACAGATTTGACAGCATACAGGCAACTGAACAGACAGATCTCCAAATGCATGCGGCGAGACTTACGCAACTTTAATACTGCTCGTATTAAAGAAGCGATCGAGCGGAACCAGGGCTCCAAAGTCTTTGCCAGAGATCTGTCTGCCAGTAAAAGCCAACTATCAAAGCTGAAGACTGAGTGTGGCAGCATCGTTTCCATGACACCTGAGATTTTGAGTGAGATTGAGAGGTTCTATGGGCAGCTGTACACATCATCGTTGGAGCCACACGCAAGTGTGAGTAACGATCCGAGAGCAAGTCTTATCCGACACTATTCCGATGATATCCCGGACGTCAGTCTAAGCGAGATTAGAATGGCTCTCCAGCACCTTAAAAACGGCAGGGTCCCAGGCGAAAATGGAATTACAGCGGAGCTTCTGAAAGCGGGTGGAACACCGGTACTTGAAGTTCTTCAGAAGCTCTTCAATTCCGTCCTCTATGGTGGCACTATTCCAGAGGCGTGGAGCAGAAGTGCGGTGGTCTTGTTCTTTAAGAAAGGCGACAACGCTCTCTTGAAGAACTACAGACCGATTTCCCTTTTGAGCCGCGTCTACGTGCTGTTTTCGAGAGTCATTACGAATCGTCTCGCACGCAGACTCGACGACTTCCAGCCTCCCGAACAAGCCGGTTTCCGAAAAGGCTTCAGTACCATAGACCACATACATACCCTGCGGCATATTGTACAGAAGACTGAAGAGTACAATCTGCCACTTTGCCTGGCGTATGTGGACTATGAGAAAGCCTTTGATTCCGTCGAAATTTGGGCGGTGCTACAGTCCCTTCAGCGGTGCCAAGTTGACTGTCGGTATACGCAAGTGCTGAAGTGTTTGTACAGTAGGGCTACGATGGCTATCCGAGTACAGAACCAGAGTTCGAAACCTATCCAACTGCAGAGAGGTGTAAGACAGGGTGACGTTGTATCCCCGAAACTCTTCACCGCTGCATTGGAAGACGTTTTCAAGCTACTGGACTGGAAAGGATACGGTATTAACATCAATGGCGAGTACATCACTCACCTTCGATTTGCCGACGATATAGTCCTTATGGCAGAATCGCTGGAGGACTTAAGCACTATGCTCAATGACCTCAATAGTGCCTCCCAACGGATAGGTCTTAAGATGAACATGGACAAAACAAAGATCATGTTTAATGTCCATGTCACACCTATGCCGGTAGTTGTTGGGAGCACTATGCTCGGAGTTGTTGACGAGTACGTTTACCTGGGACAAATAGTCCGACTAGGTAAGTCCAACTTCGACCGAGAGGTCAATCGACGGATTCAGCAGCAACACGGCAGCGTTCGGGAAATTACGACATATCTTCTCGTCAAGTATACCTCAATCTCTAAAAACTAGATTGTACAACCAGTACGTGTTTCTAGTGATGACTTACGGATCTGAGACGTGATCCCTCACTGCTGGCCGTATTAGGACGCTCAGCGAGCTATGGACAGGGTTATGCTTGGGGTTTCTCTGCGTGATAGACTCAGAAATGAGGATATCCGCAGTAAAACCAGAGTGACCGACATAGCCCAACGGATTAGTAAGCTGAAGTGGCAATGGGCCGGCCATATAGCTCGAAGAACCGATAACCGATGGGGAAGAAAGGTTCTCGAGTGGCAGCCTCGTACCGGTAGGCGTAGTGTAGGACGACCCCCCACTAGATGGAGTGACGACCTGGTAAGATATGCAGGAAGTCGATGGATGCAGGTGGCTCAGGACCGTGCTTTGTGGCATTACTTGGGGGAGGCCTATGTTCAGTAGTGGACTTGTGAAGGGCTGTGATGATGATATGATAATGACCAGAGTAGGACCACGCTCTCACAGAATATCAGCGTAAAATAGCGGCTTAATGTCGCTGTGTATTGTGTGGTGAGTGTAGAAAACTGGAAACGAGGTATTTCATCTTGGTCCTGAGGGGTGGCAATGCATCTGCATTTTGATTCTCAATTGAAGACAGATATTGACATCTATGAACTGCAGAATTTGCTTATCATCTGGTGGACTGTGTGCTTGTTTGTCACTCTTATACTATAAAAAACCAAGTGGTTATCCACAGTGGCTACCACTACACTCTGTTTGTATATTAAAGTAAATATTGACTAATTATATTGCTTACAGGTTAACACTTGGGATGAAAAGAAAAAATATTGTTCCATTCTTTTTGATGAAGTGGCCTTAGAAGTGCCAGTGTCTTATGACAAACATAAAGATTTAATTAGTGGATTTGTTGAACTTAACAAAAAAACAAATGATTTTGCTGACCATGCCCTTGTCTTTATGTTGCGGGGAGTTGTTCACAAGTGGCAACAACGCCTGGCCTTTTACTTCTGTAAAGGAGCAACTTCAGGAATTGAATTAAAAAATATTATCAAGGACATGGTAACAGCAGTAGGTAACACAGGACTCAGACCAGTGGCTCTAGTCTGTGATCAGGGCACAGCATTTCAATCTGCCCTGAAGAGCCTTCAAGAGGACACAATGCGAAAGCAAATAATTTCAGGTGAAAGGATTAGTGAGTAGGCCTTGCCATTTTTGTATGCAATCTCTTACCAACTACATTAAAATTGTGGAGTGGTGTTTGTAGCTGCATTGTAATTATTTTTCAGATGACGTGATTGTAGTTAATGGCCATACACTTAGTGTAATTCACGATCCACCTCATCTAATAAAAGGATTAAGAAATAATTTCCTAAATAAAAAAATAAAATCTAATGAAAAGATTTCGAAGTGGAGTGACATTGTAGAGGTATATAAAACAGACTGCAATCTTGCACAGATGAGGCTTTTACATAAATTAAATGATGAACATGTGATTCCAGAGAAAATTAAACAGATGAAGTTAATTATTATTTTATTAAATATCTATGTATTTTGTATGTTCTTTACATTGTGAAATAGTAAAAAAAATGTGCTATTTTTCTGTTACTAGTTTCTAATTTGTTTTTATTTATATTTCAGGTTAAAAATTGCACTAGAGTGTTTAGCAAGACAGTAGCTGCTACGTTATCATATACTGCTCAGTTTTGTAAGTTCCTAAGCTAAATTTGGCATAATATTTTAAGCTTGCTGGAAAGTCAAAGCTAAATTTAAACTTTTTGA